CGTGTATCTGACGGACAAACACCAAACCAGTTCCACATCACTGAAGTTGCACCATTTTTACAAACCAATTCTGGTTCATCTGTTTCACTCAACAATCGGCTATGTGCGTATGAAAACAAAGGCACTGCGCATGCGCGTTTTACTCATATTCTATTGCGATATTTCATTTTCCTATCGTTGCCTAACATTATACAGTATTACCGTGAACGATATAATATGGCCCAGCCCTACTCTTCAGTTATCATTCATTTAATCTCTGGTGTTCTAAAGTAATTTCTCTGCATTAGTGCACTGCTCAGTTCAATATGGGAGTTAACTTTTTTCTATATTATTATTCTTTATTGCGCTGGTTTCCAAACTAGGGTACGCCTACCCTCGGGGGTATGGGAGAGGCTGTAGGTGATACGTGGGATGGGGTAATTACCAATTCAAAAAGCCTAAATTTGCACTAATACAGTTTAATGTGGCTATTACATACATGTGTATATACCACCCTCTGGTGTTTAGCAAAACAATTGCCCTGACAAAATACATGGGTGCGACTTCCCCAATTGACTGACGCCTGACTGTTGAAGTTGCACTGTTGAAGAAATGGACAAATGGTTAACCAGAAAAAAATGCTCTGCCACCGAAACAGCGGCCACTACCACCAATTTAGCTCATATCTGAAGATGCATTTGCCAGTGACCGCACAGGTGATTGTTCAAGAATGTGTTTGTCAGATTGGGATGCCAGCACAGATGTATCTGTGGTTACTAGCCAAGTATCTAGCATAGAAGGAGACAGTCATGTGGAAAGTAATGAAGGGTCTGATGTGGAGCCTCAAAGTGGGAGAAAGCATGTCACCTCTGACTGTAACACAAAGAAGCGCAAATATGATGACAATTATATTTCACTGATGTTCACATGTATAAATACTGGGGATTTTCCCAGCCATAATGTGATAATTGTGCAAGTATTGTTTTACAACTCAATGAAACCTTCAGTATTGCACAGAGATTTAGAGACAAATCATCCCCATTTGAAAAATAAACCATGAGAATATTTTGAGCGACAGCTAAAATCACTTTCAACAAGTAAAAGCTGCATTCGAGTGCCAGATCCTATGAATAAAAACAGACCACAAGCATCTTATATGGTCAGTTTTAGAGTGGCTAAAAACAACAAACCCCACACTATTGTGGAGGACCGCATTCTCCCTGCTGCTTTAGATATGGTAGTGAGAATGTTGGGGGAAAAGGCAAAAAAGACAATACAGTCCATTCCATCATCAAACAATGCTGTCTCATCAATGCAACATCAGAAAATGTTTTACAGCAGCTACTTCAGCACATACGCCACAGTGAATTTTACGCAATACAACTGAATGAGTCCACGGATGTGGCTCCTTGTATATTTGCACAACATTCATGAAGGAACCGTCAAGGAGAACATGCTGTTCTGTAAACCACTCGAAGAAAGGACAACTGCAGTAGATATTTTTCAAAAGCTGGACACATTTATGATCACACATGGACTCGTGTGGGACAGATGTGTTGGCATCTGCACTGATGGTGCACGGGCCATGACTGGGAGACAAAGAGGTGTGGTTTGTGTGTACAGGCAGTTGCGCCAGATGCTTCTTGGGTACACTGCAGCATCCAGAGAGGCTCTTGCTGCAAAGGGAATACCTGTCCATCTGAAACATGTCTTGGACACCACTGTAAAAATTATTAACTTTTTGAACTCCCACTTATTTGCTGCATTGTGCAGTGAGATGGGCAGCGAGCCTGAGACTGTATTACTCCACACAGAGGTTTTCTTGCTCTCAAGAGGGAAAGTGCTGCCCTGTTTCTTTGAGCTGAGGGAAGAACGTAAAGTTTTCTTCAGTAACCATCGCTTTGAGCTGTCTGAACATTTGCATGATGTAGAGTACCTTACGTGCCTGGCTCATCTGTGTGATATATTTTCCCGTCTGAACGAACTCACTCTCGGATTACAAGGCGTTTCTACAACCATATTCATTGTTTATGATAAAGTTGTGGCCATGATAAAGAAGTTAAACCTTTGGAAGAACTGCATGGTCAAAAACAACACAGAAGCACACATTATCAAACAGTGTAAAGCATGACTGTAACATGCACCTTCAGGAGCTGATGGCGCAGTTATGCTGATACTTCTCATAGACGGGCGGGTTAAATGATTGGATACATCACCCATTCACCTCCGTGCCTACTTCGTCATCAGTGTCTGAGCAGGAGAGCCTAATTCAGATCACCACAGATGGATCTCCTAAAAGACCCTGCGCACTGAACAGCCTGTAACTTATTTATATGCAAATACAGAAGTGTAATTAGGATTTTAAGGAAATTTAAATAGTTTCCTTCATTTTATGACTTAAGAGATTTCTAGTTATCCATAACTTCTAGTGGACTCCACTATATTAGTTTTTATTGTCTAGGTTGAACAAATGCCATAAATATAATCTTTCTGTATTTTTTCTTATTTTTTTGTAGGCTGAGCATCTGTGAACTTTCAGAGAGAAGCTGTAGAGCTCTGTCCTCAGTTCTCACCTCCCAGTCCTCAAGCCTGAGAGAGCTGGACCTGAGTAACAATAGCATGGAGGATTCCGGAGTGAAGCTTCTGTCTGAAGCAGTGGAGAGTCCACATTGTAAACTGAGAACTCTGAGGTCAGATCAAGTATATTCATTTTTTTTCTTTTGGTCTTTTTTTTCAGCTGACAAAATTAAACAGTTAAAAATTTAGCCCATAAATGTCAGCTTTATCAATAGTTGTTTTTAAATTAGTTTTAAGTGAAACTGTCACATTTTTAACCTGTTTAACCTCAGATGATAAGGATTCTTTAAAACACATTGCAAGTAAATAGCGCTAAATGTAGTAGTAAGTAGCTCCTTACTGAACCCTGATTACAGTTTAACGAGTGTTGTTTCATTGTTCATGTTTTAATTTTCAGACTGAGTCTTTGTAACCTCTCATTGAGAAGCTCTGACAGTCTTTCTGCTGGACTGCAGAATCTGAACTGCAAGCTGACTAGTCTGAGGTCAGATCAAGAGATATTTTGTTTCTCAAAATTAACCAATTAAAGTCCATCCATTTGTTGTTGCATCTGATGAGGTTTCCTGAAGTATTACTGAAAAAAAAGTGATTAAATATATGAAACATATTATTTATGTTCTTGATTAATTTTCAGACTGAGCGCCTGTAACCTCTCAGAGAGAAGCTATCAAGCTCTGTCGTCGTTTCTTAGCTCCCGGTCCTCTAGTCTGAGAGAGCTGGACCTGAGTAGCAACAATGTGCACGATTCAGGCGTGAAGCTTCTGTCTGGCGCAGTGGAGACTCCACAATGTAGACTTAAAACTCTCAGGTCAGGATTCAAAAATGTTCTTACACTGTCATTTAAAATCTATATTGTTGCACAAACAGCTCAGCTTAGCAATTGTTAAGTGACCTTTTATTTACCTTTGAGTGGATGATTCTATTCTGAAAAACAGTCATAACATTTTTTATAGTCACGTTTTGTTTTTGTTATCGTTTCTTTTTAGAAAATTACTTTATGAACTGATAAACGTACATATATATAGCCATTTTGTGTCTATGACATACCAATATCCTTTCATGCTGGTAGGACAAAAACTTCCAAATGACATGTTTAAGGTTCTTATGGGCATTAATGATATAGAATTTTGGGAAACATTATAGAAATGTCTTCATAGAAATAATCAGTATAGGAGGTTATTGGTGATATTTATTCACTGTTTAATTTTAATTTACACAACATAATGTTACATTTCTTAAAATTGAGATTTTTATTCTTTCTTAAAAACAGAAGTCTTTATTTCAGAGGCACTTCTGTCCACTAAACATAAAATCCCAATTTCTGACAGTATTCTGAAGGTTCTTGCAGTATTGATTGTTCATTACACAATTATTAGCAACATATTCCTAAATATTTGCTTAGATTTACTATTTTTGTCACAAACCCCCCCCCCCCCCGAGAATTTTGAGCCTGACTTCATCAAAGGAGGAAGATAGGACAGCTGGGTGAACTTCAGTGACTCAAAAAAGCAGACAGAGAGAGAGAGAATTATCTCAAAAAACACCCATGGTTTGAAGGAGAATATAAATCCTGCCCAAATATCAGTTCTAAGTTATATTAATGCAGAAAGTATATTTTCTTTAGAAAGTAGGAAAAAACCTAAAAACAATAAAGTTACTTAATTGTTATCCTAACCTTTCCCCTGCATTATGTGCAATGAAAAACTGATGGAATGTTTCATAAGACTGTAACCCATTTATTACAGGTGACCTATATGTTAACAGTTCTCTCAAACTTTTTTTTCACTTTCTTTTTCCCCCACTAACACTTTTGGTGTAAATATTTCATAAAGGGGAGAAAATAGTGTAATAAAAACCTCAGACTGTCTAAGACATGGCATCCACAGAAGTAGAAGGAACGTTTCTTCATCCTGTGTTAGCAACCTCGGACCTTAGGACATGTTTGTTCAGTTTAAAAAAAAAAAAGGTATTGGTCAATGTGAAATATACCCATGTGATTGCCTGTAATAGGACACATTTGAGCTGGGGGGGGGGTTGGATTATTATTTTCAATTAATTAAAAATAAGACTCATGGTAGGCATTACTGAAGCAGTTCCGACCATGGGTTTGACTTCCCCAAAACACCAGAGCAGCTCTTGCTCCTCCCACAAAACAGCTTTAAACCTGTGTGGTTACCACAATAAATGTAGTAGTCTTCCCCAAGTATATTTCATTTTATATACAATGCAGTGCCTCTTCATTCTTCATATATCCATGCTGGACATTTTGATAGACTTCGTCTCAGATTTTTTGTAGTTTATTGCTCTTGTGTAAGGTCAGAAGTCCTTGTACATGTAGCAATCCACTCGTTATACTGAGTCTAACCCTGCTTGCCTCAGTTTCGACTTCCTAGTTGGGGTGTTGGGTTCGTTATAGCACAGATACCACAAATGGTTGTCGTATAGACAGGAATCAGGGATACTAACAGTAAACTCCTGCATAAACATTAAAGAAAGAATTGACCCCAGACCACTCTTTAGCACAGAAACTGAACATTTACTGAACATAAGACAGACAATGTACAAAAACACAAATTTTTTTTTAACTCAAATGACATTACAGTTTCATTCAGTAAATGAAATATACTCTTTGAATACCCTTTAAAATAATATTAGTGGTTAACTCACTGATACCTTATCAGAAATACGCTATGTAAATATACTAAATGCGCTATACTCACATACAGGCCCCCAGCACACTGACATTCACACTCATTACAGGCCAGTTTGTCAGCTGGAAAACACAGACGGAAACACAGGCGGTGTCTAAGTACTCAAGTATGCAAGTCTGTACTCGTGTTCTTGCTAGTCTGTACTTTGTAAAATTAGACGGAAGTCCAGACTTCCCCAGAACGCAGCGCAATCATTCTACAATTGGAACGGCAGTGTAGCTGGTAATATCTCAGCTCCAGAGTTTTACTGTCATCTCCCGTCAATTTAACTGTGATTAATATTTGGAATGGAAATTACACATGATGTAAAAAATTGCCACCTAGCAATTTTTAGTAGATTTCTTTAAGAAAAAAAGAGTTTAAAAAGGTATTTTAAGCAGTTTGGCAAAATTCGCTATTACATATGATTTGTTTTATAATGTCTAATAGGCTTTATACAGTTAAGTACAATCACGACATGACAGAAAGACAAGCTTAATCTCTCTATTAGGAAAAATAGTATACATGTATGCTTGAATAAAAACAAACAGGTGAGATGTTAGAACGCTTTTATTTTTATTTTTAGTAGACAGTCAAGCGTCTACTAAAGGTTTGTATTCATATGTATCCTGTTGAAAACAATTTTGATATTTTTAAGCAATATTATACTTATTTTAGGCCTTATTTACGCAATGCTATTAAGTAAGTGGGCTCTGGGTTCTTTTTTCAGTGTACTTTCGTATTATATAATTTAACTTACTTTTAATTTACTTGTCTGATTTGTAAAAGTAGTATTACCCACGAAAATGAACAGTAGTGACTAACAGTGCAGTAAATTACCATACACAATGTAAAGTAGATCTTAGCAACAGTCCTTTAATTAGCCAAAATAATAAAATGGCATGTTTTAATATTCGGGCTAACCGAAAAACAGCAATACACTAACTGTACAATGAATCCCCACATACAGTGTAGACCACTGGTAATAGAAACAATTACTGCCCCAAAAACTAAACATAAAGCTGGCACAAATACATCCTACTTTGCAGGCCTATGCTAATACTTGAGAATGTAGCAATCCAATAAGATCTCCAAACTAAAGTCTTTTCAGTAAAAGGGCAAAAAAATGCATCAACAAATGCATTTGCGCTGACAAACACCTTCATTTCCCTGGATTTGAAAGATGGGTCAGGTTCGTGGCCCAACCTATTTCAGAATTCATAGCACGGCTCTGCCAGTTCCAGTTTCCAAATATGGTCTCAGCTACTTACCTGTAATATTACTCTTTCTTGGTCACAAAATGAACTTTTAAGATATTTTCAGATGAGAATATCCATCCATCCATCCATCCATCCATTTTCTTCTGCTTATCCGGGGCCGGGTTGTGGGGGCAGCAGCCCAAGCAGAGAAGCCCAGACCTCCCTCTCACCAGCCACCTCCTCCAGCTTGTGCGGGGGAACACCCAGGCATTCCCAGGCCAGTCAAGAGATATAATCTCTCCAGCGTGTCCTGGGTCTGCCCCGGGGCCTCCTCCGGTGGGCCATGCCCAGAACACCTCACCCAGGAGGCGCCCAGGAGGCATCCTTGTCACATGCCCAAACCACCTCAACTGGCTCCTTTCAATGTGAAGGAGCAGTGGTCCTACTGATCCTGGTCCTGCTCTTTCTCCTGATTGGCCAAACTTCTCACCCTATCTCTAAGGGAGATGCCAGCTAACCTTCGGAGGAAGCCCATTTCCGCCGCTTGTATCCGTGATATTGATCTTTCGGTCGCTACCCACAGCTCATAACCATAGGTGAGGGTAGGGATGTAGATCGACCGATAAATTGAGAACTTCGCTTTTACACTCAGCTCTCTCTTCACCACAACAGACCGGTACAGCGTTTGCACCACTGCGGCCGCAGCACTAATCTGTCTGTCGATTTCCTGCTCCCTTCTCCCATCACTCATAAACAATACCCCAAGATACTTGAACTCCTCCACTTGGGGCAGGAACTTGTCCCTGCCCCGGGTTGGGCACTCAACCTGGTCCTCAGCCAAAAGATGAAAATGTAGCTGTGTAAACTTCAAATATCTGTTCGATTTATCAAGACATCACACATTGGCAAAACTGCTCTGATGTTTTCGGAGACACCTGTTATTCACCGGCTCGATAGCTGATCGGGAGGTCAAGGCCCACTAGAGCCGGTGAGAAAATCGGACTCCCGGCGTTTTCAGACCTGCCACGGTCTTTTGCTTCTTAGGTTAAAGATGACATATAAATCACTTAGATAACTTAAATATGTTGCTTGGCTTTTGGCTTATATTAAACAATGCACATATGTTTTTACACATTTTACATGAATTTTGACTTTTTAATGAAATAAAGAAATTGAATAAATGAATTTATCTCTTTGCTATTCATAATCTTAGACATTACTTATTTTTTACTATTTATGCATTTTTAAAATCCGGGTTATGTTATTAATTGTGTATATTCCCTGCACTTGTTATAGATGTTCACATGACCTATAAAAAATTGCCAAGTCCAAATTTCAAAAGGTGAATGTCATATTGACCTTCACGTTGGGTTGCGGTTGGAAGTCCAAATTGTGGACCTAGTTTGGACGTCGTATAATGTCCAGAATGAACCCAATGGGATCTGCATGTCTGTCCTATGTCCAATGAACCCTCAAATGCCGATTTGCAGATGGCATGTGGTCTATGGGTCCGCCAGTCTGTTCTGAGCTCTAGCGTGTGTTGTAAATATACTCATATAAGACAAAATAGTAACAAGAAACCGGATGCTAGTCCTAGTATTGATTTCTTTTTTCCTTGGGAAAAAAACTCCACTTTTCTAGAATTTTTGAGGGGTTTTTGGTGATTTGCCACTAGTAAATCATCAAAAGCATTGTAATAGTTCATACTTTAACTTCAATGGGAGGTGAGTTGTATAGCTATCAGAGCTTATATAGGTGAGTCGAGACTAATAATATAGTATATATTATCAAGCATCTTATTGTATCATTATGTATAGTAATATATAAGGATGGGTGGTTTCTTTGGTTGGTCGGTCATCTCAGTTGCCCCTGCAACTGAGATGACCGACCTTTCTGACCATACATACAATACACAAACTTCACGTTGGGGAGACAGGAATGTGTAATGTGTAACACAAAAGGGCAGATCGGGAGAAAAAAAGAATTTCTGCTCCAACTGATCCCCAAAGTAGTTGGCATGAGGAGAAGACAAAAAACTTCAGCACATAAAAAGCACAAATATCATCACATCATAACACCATAAAAACACAAGACAAGCAACATGGGGGAGTATGCCAATGTGCACAGCTACGTCTTGGATGCAGCTTTCTCGCTGATATTGTAGTGTGTTGCCTTACTCTGTTAACAACTTGAAGTGTCTTTTGTTGTCCATTGGGAATTGTCTCTTATAAATAAAGTTAAATGAAATTGAATGGATGGAAATTGAAAGATGTTATTGTATCTGACAAACAGAAAATCATAGCTCACAGATGGAGTGTTGTGTGTTTTCAGTCTGTCAGGCTGTTTGGTCACAGCAGATGGCTGTACTTTTCTGGCCTCAGCTCTGAGCTCCAACCCCTCCCATTTGAAAGAGCTGGACCTGAGCTACAATCATCCAGGGTTTTCAGGAAAAAAGCTGCTGCTGGCTGGACTGAAGAATCCACGCTGGAGACTTAAGACTCTCAGGTATGGGGAAGAGCTAATCATCCACAGCAGTTCACTGCTACGTCCACACGTACCTGGGTATTTTTGAAAACGCAGATTTTTCTATGCGTTTGCACCTTTCGTCCACACGTAAACGGTGTTTTTGGTCACTGAAAGCAGAGATTTTTAAAAACTCCGGCCAGGGTGGATATTTTTGAAAACTCCGTTTTTGCATTTACGTGTGGACGAGAAAAACGGAGAAAACGCAGCGTCAAAGGTGTGCGCCTTTTTTGACGTCACACTGTGCGCCACGTTATTGTTTTGGTGAAATGAATTTCTACAATGCTGTTACTGTTAATTGTACTCTCTGCAGTGTTTAAATGCTCACATATACACACACAGTTACTGTCCCTCCACACATATGACTCGGTTCTGATTTTATGCCACATCCATGTTTACTATTTCCCACCGAGGCTTCTAGACTTCTGATTGGCCAACATTTCTACACGGTTAGGAATATATCGCCACCTGTTGCTTTGGCATGTTCCTAGCAGCGTTTTCCTTCATTTCTGCGTTTACGTGTGGACGGGATTATTTTTTAAAACGAAAACGGAAAATCTCCGTTTTCAAAAATACCTGTGTACGTGTGGACGTAGCCTTAGTACAGTGTTGTTAGCTACCGTGCTGTTAAATCTTTGTATATATAAATAAAATATTCAAGGATCAGTGTTTGCTGCCTTCTTCACATATTTAGGTTTGTATTACCATAGTCAGAGATGCTGCTGTTGTTCATTTTATTATTTTTAACATTGTATGCTAGCCAACAACAGTCGCAATTTAATTTTTATTGTTATATTTTGTTGGAATAGAATATATATTTGAAAATGAATGATTTTCTAATTCTCTGTTTGTCTTCATTAAGTTGTCAGCAATCAGACAATAACTCAGACTGGAAGTAATCTTAATGACAAATGATTTTTCCTCTCCCCTCCTCCTTCCAGGGTGGAGCCTGCTGGAGTCCGATGGTTAAAACCAGGTCTGAGGAAGTGTAAGTGCGTTTTTAATGTGATTTATTAAAACAAAGCAGTACACATCCAACCATCTTCTGTCAGGGTGCCCGGCTTGTTGACCCAGTGTTTTCAGTTAAGCTTTGTCACCATTGAGTTTTCTATCCCCGTTTCCTGTTTTACTGTCTTAGTTATCTTTCTGTGTGCATTATGTTCTGTTCCACTTCCTATGTATTGTTAGTTAGATTAAGTTCAGCTATGTACTCACCTGTTTCTTATCATCCTCATTATCCAGTGTATTTAATCCGTCAGTTCTCCTCAGTTCCCTTTCTTCTCACATGTGTGTGTTACCCAGTTCAGTTTAAGTCAGCTTATGTTCTGTCCATCCATTCCTTACAATATGCACCATCTACATCCCCAATCTGCCAGCGAGTCCTGCATTTAGGTCCTCTCTTCTCTCTCACCACACCACACCACGATGCTGACAGAATGACGAGACTCGTGCTGCGAAGACATGATATGAACCCAGTGGACCTCGAATTATACCAATGGCAGCAGGCAGCATTCTTCTTTCTGGAAAGAGAGCTGGGGGTTAATCTGTGGCTTATGCTCCAAAATGAGCAGTCTTTGAGGGAATTCATCTGGCTCTGGAGAGTCCTTGAAGGCACTGCAGTCCTCCACCTGCTGCCTCACCTGCACGCGAGCCTTAGCCATGGGAAATAGGCGCCAGCCGCTGATCTCCAGCTGCTTGGTCCTCGTGCGTCCACCTACTGCCTCATTCACTAGCACTCCCACCTTGTCGTGGCAAAGCGGCTCCACCTCCCATCTCATCCTGATGGAGGTTACATCATTCAGCAGGTCTGTTGTTTCTGTCAAGAGGAGGCAAAGCTCCCGCTGCTGCCGCTGCTCTCGCAAGCAGCAATATCTGGTGGTGAGTGAGTCAGACATTTTTCTTCATTTTCACCATGAGCCAAAGACTCCTCCTCACCATAGACCAAATACCCTTTCTTCTACTAAAAAAGCCAGTGATTGGTTATTGTCAACCTATGGTGGATTGTCAAAAAAAATGTAATTACCACCCTGCACCCATAAAAACTGTTTTTCCCTTTTAGGCTTCACAAAGGACATTCTTAAGTCCAGATCTGATCAGTTCTTTCATCCTGTCTCCATGCCAAGACCTGTCTCCCAGTCCCAAGACCTGTCTCTCAGCCTGCTCCTGTTCACAGTGCCGTTAGGGCCCAGCCAGTCCCTGTACCACTCCGCGGGCAGATAGCGCTCAGCATTTTTCCCCGCACCCTTGCCAGTTCCTCGGGTAGGGGCAACTGACGTCCAGCCGTCACCCATTCCCATGCCTGCTCCCAGGGCAAGGACAGCTGAGACCCAGTCCACTCCAGCACCCATACCTGTTCCCCGGGCTTGGGTGACTGGTGTCCAGCCAGCTCCTGCACCTGTCCCTACACCTAAGGTGAGGGAAGCCACTCAACCCATCCCTGCATCCATACTTGTTTCTTGAGTTGGGACGGCTAGGGTCTGGCCAATTCCAACACCTGTTCCGGTGCCAAGTCTCCACCAGAGGTTTCCCACCTGTGGGTCCTGCTTTTTCTCCACTAGAGAGCTTTGCCAAATCACGCCACCAGCAACCTTCCCACCTGTTAGAGGTGTCCCATCACCTCTGCTGGTCCACAGTGGAGCATCGCGGGTGCTGCCGCTGGCCACACAACCACCCACCTGAACTAATTTGTCTATGGCACTGGCCACACAGTTGCCCACTCGAACGGATTCATGCGGTCATCCACCCAAACTAAATCATCTTAGCAACTGGTCACGCAGCCGCCCACCGAAACTCATTTATTTTTAACTCATTATCCAGTATATTTAAGTCATCAGTTTTCCTCAGTTACTTGTCTTGTCCTCTAATCTGCATGTGTGTTTTCTGGTTCAGTTCAGTCCACCAGTCATTCAGTTTCAGTCAGTTTATGTTCTGTCCATCCAGTCCTTGCAATAAACACCATCCACATCCTCAATCTGCCTGCAAGTCCTCCAGTTGGGTCCTCTCTTCTCTCTCACCACACCACACCACAACACTGACATCTTCAAACTGTCACATCACTGATTTACATCTCCGATGTCAGTAGTCATCATCAAAGTGTTAATCAATGAACAGATGATGGATCCATAACTGCAGTTGGATTGTGTTTGTTCTCTCCATCAGATTCCTGTCAACTCACAATCGACACAAACACAGTAAATAGAAACCTCAAACTGTCTGACAACAACAGGAAGGTGACACATAATATTATGGAGGTTCAGTCATATCCTGATCATCCAGACAGATTTAATGTTTGGCCTCAGCTGCTATGTAGTAATGAACTGACTGGTCGCTGTTACTGGGAGGTCGAGTGGAAGGGAAACATTTCTATATCAGTGAGTTACAGAAGAATCGGAAGGAAAGGAAACAATGATGACTGTTGGTTTGGACTCAATGATCATTCCTGGAGTCTGCACTGCACTGATGGTGGTCCTCAGTTTGTCTGTCACAATTGCAGATCCACAACCATCCCCCCCTCCTCTTCCTACTCCTCCTCTGTCTCTAACAGAGTAGCAGTGTATGTGGACTGTCCTGCTGGCACTTTGTCCTTCTACAGAGTCTCGTCTGGCACTCTGATCCGCCTCCACACCTTCAACACCACATTCACTGAACCTGTTTATCCTGGATTTTTATTGTCTTTTCATGGTGCCTCAGTGTGTCTGTGCTGAGTTGAGTATAAAGAGTGTCCTCCTGTTAGAGAAATACTCTATGCATTTTAAGGTTAATGGATTCAATGAGTTGATGTTTTAAACTGTTCTAAATGATTCCTTGTAAACTTCTTCCTCTTCACTCCTTTAAAGATGGAAGCTACAATTATTCCAGGATCCATTCTTAGGAATATTTTAATGTGCCTGAATAGCACTGCATATGCTGTGTTTCACTTTAGTTTGAATGAAACATGAAATCTATCACAAAGGGCCCTGGAGTAGAATCTGGTGGATTTTGGTAATATACATTAGATTTGTTTTGATGCTATTTTTTTAAGCTGTTTCATTGTTATGATTTCAGATCTGAATTTTATAAAATGCTGCATCAAAAACAAAGACAGATGTGTTGATGTCCACAAATGACAATTACCTCCAAAAGCACCTTTTAAACAACCTTCTGTATTTTGAATACATTGCTCAGTTTGAGCTGATGTTTGATATCATTCCTTTTTTCATGACTTTTTTGATCACTATCATATTTTACTGTTTCTATTTGAATTTTAGCTTAGAGCTTATTTTTATTGTATGCATATCTCTAATGCAGCCACAGCAAAACAGCTGCCGGATGTCAAGGTCCTGGGTCTGGTTACCGAGTGCTTATGTTTTGATTATTTATTAATATTTAATCTTCTTTGATTTAATGTTTTTCATAGTTTAGTCTTTTGTATTTCTAGCTTCCTAAGGCTACGTCTACACTAATCCGGATAACATTTTCGTCTAAAAACACTATGTGTCCACACTATTGTTTTTAATCATTTCCGAACAGTTGTTCGTCAACACTGAAACGCCTGAAACGCTTATGTTACTGTTTTGCGCATGCGTGAAATGTAAGATGACCTGCGTTATTTCTGTCTGCCGTTTATTTACTTTCCGGCTATTAAAAACATCGCAGCAAAATGTTGAGGAAAAGCACCGGGTTTTTTAAATGGACTGACAATGACATGGAGTTGTTGTTGTGAGTAACACAAAAGTACAAAGTTGCAAAACTGATTGAGAATTACAGAATTTGAAGAAAAGCTATCTGAAGCATGTACAAACTGATATTAATCTTTAATAGGGCTGTCAAAATTGAGAGCACGAAAAACAACTACTGTATAATGCCCTCTGCTATCTTAGTTTAATTAGTCACATGACTGCATCACATGACTAAAATGCGTCATTGTTTCCGAAAGCCAGTGGTTACGCTGTCCACACTGCGACAGCGTTTTCAAATGTATCCGCTTTGGAGAAAGGTTTCAAAAAGCTCTGTTTTCCTTGGCCAAAAACGCCATCTCAGTGTGGACGGAAGGCCAAAACAGAGAGAAAAAGAGTCTTCAAACGAAAATGTATTAGTGTGGACATGACCTAAGTTATTTAGTATTTTGTGATTTCTAGTTCTTAGGTTTTGTTCCTGTGCCTTCCATGGTTTGTGTGTTATGTCTCTAGTGTAGGTTTAGTTCTTTCTCCATGTTTATTCCCAGTTCTGTATCTCAGTGTGAGATACACACATATATTTTATTGTAATAGTTCTGTTTCCTGTGTGATGGTATTCTGTTTGTATGCCATCGGAGTGCCATATGGCTGAGCACACACGGTCTGGGTTCAAGTCTAACCCACGGCCCTTTGCTGCACGCCTTCCTCTCGGTCTCTCCTCCACTTTCATGTCACTCTTCACTGCGCATCTATTTGATAAAGGATGAAAAAATGTTGAAGGGCTTGGGTAACTGTTCATTTCATTATATTTTGAAAATGGGAAGTAGGCGCAGTAATTAATAGAAATGTGCGCACATTCATGGAAATGCAAAATATATGTCAATAACAGTTTGTACAACTCTGATGAGCCCTGGTATGACCACCTTTATTCTTCAACACAGCCTGAAATTTCTTAGGCAGGTTTCTTGTAATTTTTTTAAAGTAGTCTTCAGGAATAGTTCTCCAGGATTTGTGAATGACATTCTGCTCCACCGTGTTTTACAAATGGCTGTAGACATTCACTGTTGATCCTCTCTCTTGACTTCCACACATACTGATAGTGATTTATGTGTTTTCATCACTCCATCAGACCTGTTGCCACCTGTTGATTTTGACACCTATGTAATTCCTATGTAATTTGGCATACCCCGTATTTTTCTCCCCATTTCCCTTCCTTAGCAGTGGCTTCTTGACAGCCACTCTTCCACTGGGACCATCTGTGATTATTTTAAGTGAACAGTACAAGGATCAACTGAAAATCCAGAGGTATATCTTAGGTCTTTGCTGAATTTCTGTTGTATATTTACGTTTGAATGATTAAAAGGTCAGTGGTTAAACCAGAAAACAAACAAAAAACATTTTTCTAAAAATGGTCAATTACAGGGACTAGACTAAATATGAGTGAAAAAAGGTGGAATGTCCAAAGATAACTATTGCTTAAGAACACTTTTTAATTTTAATTTTTAAGAAGTCTGAACCCTAACCCTAGTTCTTGAGACATTTTATGATTCTACTTCATTTGCTCTCAACAACCTGACAGTTCGGACTCTGGACTGTACCAAGATACCTTCTGGATTCAGTCCAGCGTGACATGTGAGAGAAACATCAGCCTGACTGTGTGTATGACAGTAAGTAAGAAAACAATGGATATTTGATAACCAAATAACCACCACTGAAACTTGCTGAAGTAGGTGAAAAAAAAAACTATATAAAGAAATGATATCTGCTCAAACATTAAAGTGACACACTAATGAACAAATAGTTAGGATCAGATCAGATTCTGAATAATAAGTATTTGAAGCAGTTGGCATGATGAGGATCAACCTCTTTGTTAATATTTTTATATCTCTCCTGTCGTATTGACTGTAGAAAAATAAACAGAAAAAAATGAAATCAAACTAGAGAAAGAAACATTTCTGATGGTTTTACTTTTTGGAAAATAAAAAACTAAGGAAAAACTAAGAGTTAAATAATCGACATCAGTGCTGTTTTCAGTCACTTAATGGAAAATAAGAATGAGGAGATTGTGCCATCTACTGGTAAGAGTGAGTCAGCTGCTGAAGACTTAGTGTCAAAATAAGGAAATAAATAAACAGCAAATTCATGCAGAAACTTATAAACACCTGTTTGTATGTTGTGAAAAATAAAAGGGAAGAAGACAGCATTATTAAATTGAGATTGTACTATTAATTTGGTTTCTAAGCTCAGGAGACTTTGAGGTGCTCTCTGAAGGAGTGCAGCATTGATTTGGAAAGTGATGAGGACAAAAGTATTGTTCAGATCTTCCTTTAGAATTTAAGATAATTTAAGAAAATTTTCATCTAAATGGGACAAAGTAACCATTCCCTGGGTCACTCTGAGGAACCACTGTCCATTTCTCTGGTGCATTAATGACAGACCTCTGTCATACTGTGACACTTCCTTCTTCATGTTTGACAGCTGATGTCACACACTGTGGAACCATCCTTTCGCCTACTTGACGGCCCACAAAGATCCTCCGTGATGAACCGAAAATTTCAAATTTTGATTTCTAAGTCCATAATACCTTATTCCAGTCGTCCAATGGTGGTGTGTCATATTCTAATGTCTTAGCAATGGCTTTCTTGCTGCCACTTGTCCTGTCAAACCTACAGCTCAAAAATCTTCTCTTCACAGTTGAAACTGAGACTTGCTAATTACGACCAATATTAAACTGTGCTTGAAGCTGTTGTCCTGTCATGCAAGCTGTTAACTTTCAAAAATTGTCATCTGATTCAGTTGTGGCTTTGGCTCTGCCAGACCTCTTCCTGCCAGAGTTTGTCCCAGTTTCTGAGTGCCTTCTGATGGTGAAGGAAACTGTACTCACTGACACCTTTACGTTATATTCAATATCTCTGTAGGTGTTATTTTTAAGTGTTATGATGGTCTGTCTGTCTTTGATTGTTAATTGCTACATTCTACAGTCCAATACTGTTCAGCTGTTGCTCACGAGGGTATGGTACCACAGTGGGTTCCAACACTGCTTTTATACAGACAGAGGAGGTTGTATATGATGCAGAAAAGTTGGAACACCTGTAGGAATTAGCAGCACCTTTCAAGGCTTGATCAACCTCCTGTGTTATAGAACAGCTTTCAATTGTTAACCCATGTTGTTGTGTCTCAAAAGGCCTTTTTGTATAATTCTGAAATGTACATTATGTTTCAGTTTTGACCTTACCTTACCTTTTTTTTTAAACCTCTGGTATTTCAACACTTACCTTTGTACCATTTCAAGTTAGTCATTGGACTTGAACAACTTGAAATGCAACAAATAACTGGAAAAATTGGGGTATTCTTGAGAAACAAAAGTTTCTCAAAGGTTTAATGTTTGCTTCTGATGGTGGTGTTCTTAATGTCTTTTTTCTACAGATATCTGTTCTTTTTGAATTTTGTGTCCAGCAACATGTTTCAATTATTTGTCTCAGACCCAACAAAAGGCTGCATCGTCATTGGCTGACCTATCTAGGAAGCTTTGAATTGTGACAGTACCAGATCCATAATGTCTATAAATCCAGTCACACTGGATTTATAGACTGGAAACAAAGAAACAGACTGCTTTGC